GGCAAGTGTGGCAACAGAGCTCCTCAGGGCAAATGGGCAGGAGTAGGAGATTACCTGGGGTACAAGGTAGGAGAATTAACCCTACCTCTGCTATCTGCAGAAGAAAAAGGGCTCCAGCTGGGTCACTAATGCAGTCCATGCAAGGGGACAGCTCTGGGTCATGCAACACTGAGCCTCTGCACTTCATGTGTTCAGTGTGCTGCAAGGAAGGAGCAGCAGCTCTGAGGAGGAACAGCAGCTCTTACCCCACTGGCAGTGAAGGGAAAGGAGCAAAACCTCGAGCACCCAGGGAAGAAGAGGCTGCTCTGTGCCACAGCCACTGCTGCTGAGGAACAGGCCCCTCTCTTCTGAGCTCTTGCTGAACTCCTTCAGCACTCAAGCAGGAGTACAACCATTTGCCAGATGGAGCAGGCAGCTGTAAAGCAGGGAAGCAGTGCTGTTCCACAGAGCAAAACCACTCTGGGATCAAGCAAGCAGCAAACTTCAGTTTCCAGACTTCACTTCTGTAAGGAAGTTTCCAGCTCATTAACTCTGCTTGCTTAACTTTATTGCTGGATGCTGCCAGAAGCAAGAAGTGTCAGGTTCAAGCAGAGACTTTGTGGCCTTTGAAAACACTTGTTTGAGCCCCCACTCAAGAGTCTAGTCAGTATTCCACTGGCCATCTGAAGTAGAAAAGGCATTTTTTACATCCATCCATGACAGAATTCCTTAAACACTGAAATGACTATGAATTACTAAGCTGAGATGGAATAAAGGCATTAACAGTAATATCTGAGTTAAGGAAAGTTTCTCACTATACTCCACAAATGTCTTGCTGGTTAATTATTTGAAAATCAGTCCTCCTCTCCCAGCATTAAGTGTGCTATAAAGCAGCCTCCTTTTCCAGTTCTCCTCTGCCTCATGCCCTCCTCATCTTGCCAGCATCCCAAGCGTGCACAGTCACAACCATCCACTGCCTGGCGGCTCACTTCAGAGAAAAGGAGGAGCATGGACTGATCTGTCTCCCTGTGGCTGCCATGGATGGGCTTGGACCAAGAGGTAAGAGTCCTTCATTCTCCACTTGTTAGGTTTCTCTGGCCATTGCTAGCCCAGCACAGCCACTCTGGTTTCCTGTGGAAAGCAGAAAAGCAGCACAGGGCTCTGCACCCACCTCAAGGCAGGGCTTGAGGGAGAGCACAGCTCTGGCTCACCCCACTGCTAAAGTAAGGTTCAGGAAGAAGCCTCCTCCAAGGCCAGCCTGACAAGCCTCCATCCCCCACTCCATGATGGTTTCAACTTGACAGCTCCTAATAAACCAAACTTTAAGAAGCAGCCCCTGGAGAGCCTCTGGAAGATAATTAATGCTCTAATGAAGAGCATGACTGCCTTGTTTGCTCGACGGCTCCCAGGTCAATCAATCTGCTGTAGACTGGCTTGCAAAAAAGCAGTGAGGAGCCCAGCACCCCTGGAGTCTGCTCAGTTATCATCCCCTGCCATCCCTCCTCCCATGTTCATTACTGTCAAAATCCCAGCAGCAAGAGGACAGATTTATAGAGGCGATTGCAGCTTCTCCCTGAGCGCCCGATCCAGATTTAGTCACGAAGGAACAGGACAGGGGACAACACAAGGATGGAGGGGTGGGGAGCTGCATGAGCATGAAAGGGGTGAGGAAGGTGCTCTGAGAGCAGGGGTGTTGTGTGAGAGCCCTGCTTTCTTACTCTGCTGTTGCCAGACACACTCTCCAGCACTCAGACCCAGGACTTTGCTGAATCACCCCCTCGTCTGTGCTGCAGGGGAATGATAAGTGCAGTAACACAGTGACAACAGCAATTTAATACACCAGCACAAATCTGCCCCAAGCCTCCTTGCCAAAAGAGAGAGCACTCTGCAGACACCCAAGCCTGCCCAGATTGCAGCACAGCCCCTGTTGTGCACTGTCTGCTGCCCTTGTCTGAGTCCTGCAGACCACATGGACAGGCACTGCTCCCAGACAGTGCCTGCTGTCTCATCCCTGGACACCTGGCAGGGAGAAGCAAGATCCAAGGAGGAGATGGGAACAGAGCCTGCCTGACAGCCCTTGGGTCTTCTCCTCGATCTGTCTGAAGCTATCTACCACCTTCCTCCCTCAGGCAGGACCCAGAGCCCGAGTGCTGTGTCCCCTCTGAGCTGTGCAGGAAAGGGGGCAGGGAACAGTGAGGTCAGCTGGCATCTCAGTGAGCACTGAGAGCTCAGCCTGAATCCAAACGTTTCCAGGGCCTCTTGGATTCAACAGAAATCCCCTGCTTCCCCTAAAAGGTACCTCTGCTTCTCCTAAAACCCAAGGAAACTGTAAGTGCCAGGGAGCCACCACACATGTCCTCTCCAAGGACAGGACACAGCTAATCCTGATGGATCTCTCAAATATTAGCTCACTAAGCCTTGCATGCTGGATGCTCTTCTCAACCTGGAAAGGGGCAAGGCAAAGGGCAAAGCAATGTCTCCAGATGGGAAAATGGTGGTGAACCCTCAGGGGAAAGGGATTATGGCCTTGGGGATGACAGACCCAAGTTTTCAGACCCAGACCAGATACCACAGCAGAAGGAGAGCCCCAAACACAAAAGCAATCTCCACTCCTGCACATGGGGATCACTTCTAGTTCACACTGACTACTGTGCATGGTCTCCTGCCAGCTTTGGTTTCAGAAAGCAGCTGGTGTGAACTTATTATTCTTCCCCTTCTGCTGCAAGAAGAGCTCACCAAGAAAGAAACAACAGGCATCTTGAGAGAACCAGAGCAGTCCCTGGTCTGCCTGCCAACATTTCATTCATGGAGAACATCAACCACCCGCTCCAGGAGGCTGCCTGGGACACAGTAACAAAACACAGTGAGGGGTGCAGCCGTGGTGCTGGGAGAGCTCTGAGGAGCCTCTCTTCTCTTCCATCCCCACTTGTGAGCCATAAAGCCTCAAACAGTATGCAAGGCTCTCTGAACTGACAGCTAAGATTTATTTTGGAGTCATTTGCTGAGCAGCTGGGAGACAGGGAGAGGTGAAACCATGGAGACCTGGACAACTTGCTCTGTTAAGGCATCACTTGAGTGTTACTGCTGCCAGAGCATGGTTTAACTGAGCTGCCTGCCACCCTGAGCTGTGACACACAGGCTCTCTTCCTGAAGCTGTTATCAAGGATTTCTCTTTCCCTCTCTGTCTCACACACAGATAGGCATGCATGGGGCTGTGAAGAAGCGTGTTACTCCAGGGACCACATCCATTCACCACTGCTTCCTAAGGAAGTAAGCTAAAATGATGAACATCACCAACTTGACCTTGCAAGCAGTAAAACATGTATTACAAGGCAGCATAATCAAGATAAATGGAGAAGATTAACCTGGAGATGAGAGCAAGGGAGAGAGAGGGAAGAAAAATGATGGCGAGTTCATGAGGTGGCTCGAGCTCATAGCATCCCATGAGTTGTCTAAAGACAGGGTTGTGGAAGGTGGAGGGAGTATGAAGAGGGATACTGATGGGAAAAACAAAAAGCCCAACCAGCAGAGACCCTAGGAAGGAGTCCTTCTGCACAGGAATACAAAAGGAGAACTCACACGCAGCAAGGACCTGAGCAAACAGTCTTGAAGGTGTTAAAAGCCTCACTCCAGACACCAGCTCCATCCCTAAGGCCAAGACAGTTGTACACCATTCAGCTCAGCAACAGCCCACAGCTACCATGGCCACATACGTTTGCACTTTCCATGCACAATAGGGACACCACCAATATATCAGTGACAAGGCCTACAGAAGGCCCCTCACTCACTCCAGTACAGGGACAGCACCATGTAGGTGTTCTGACTGCCTCTGCCATTCCAGGTGCCTGTTGCTTATCTGTTGCACACTCTGTGTGGGCACCCATGGCTGTGGAGACTTTTGGCCAAAAGGACTCAATTTCTGGTGAGGATGAAAATCAGACACTTTGATCACCATCTGTTTTTGAAGGTGCCTCCAGCACAATGAGAGATGCACCCAGTTATTGGATCAGAGCTGCAGCACCCACCTATGGTGCATGGACAGCTTTGGTGGCAACACATCTCTCTCTTTGATCCTGTTTGCCCTATTCTTCTCCTCTCTTTTCTGAGTCTGCACTGATAAATGGAGGTGGCACAGAGCTAAAACCACCTGTACCTTCGATTTTAGTCCTTGGAAAAAACAATTACCAACTTTATATGAGGATGCACAATCCAGGAAAGTTTAAGTAGAATGATAGTTAGTTTGTTACAAGATAGAGAAGCAGACTTTTGAGTTTTTAGAATGGGAGTCCAGAAGCCAAGATGGAGGGATTTGGGTGTGTCTTGTCCTTCTTTATTCTTCTTAGCCTCCATCTTCTGGGTGATGGTGGCACTTCTGGATTGGTTTAGCGTAGAAACACACTGTCTAACATATGTGACAGGTATTGGAAAATTATTGTAAATAATGTACACGTAGTTTTTAGTATAAAAAGATAAAACTGCCTCTGAAGTGGTCAGTGTGCCTCAACCTGACCTGCCAGACAAACCCCGG